ACAAGGTTAAAATTTGCACAATCATCACTTTTTACAACTAATTGCATGCACATGAATTCTATAGCAACTTATTTATCTACAAACATACAACAAGAGTAAATTCATTACATAAAATCTAACATCACATAGCTATAGCTATACTATGCCAGTCCTGAGTCTTTTCCTTTGCTTGGCTTGCTACACTAACCTGTAAAAATATAACCATATGGTGAGATAATATCTCAATAATAGAATAACTTGCCACTACTAACTATCACAGGTAATTGTAACTAAGTATTGCATATACATAATCAAATAAAACATACAATATAATTTCACTTCATAAAACCCTTTTCATAATAAATTATCACCACTAGTATGTTCAATGACCATCCGAACCTTTGTATTACCCTAACTAAAACCATAGGCTCTTATTAAGCTAATGCACACTCTTTGACCTTAGCATACCTTCAGTGGTAGAACTACCCAGCCAAAGGCATGCTGTCCTACTTTCAGACTACATTTTCCCTCTATCACATATAATGATCAAGGTGTTGTTACTCCAACACTGCATCTTATAGATGCTAAGGGGCTCTGACCTCTAACACCGTACCCTACATGGGCAATAAAGATATAATGTCCAATAATGCACTTTAATAGGCATTAAAGAGATGAAATTCTCCAACTGTACACCCCGTCAGGTACTATAGAGAATGTTGTCATTTGGATTTCTTACTACTTCTCCTTATGGGTGAACTCCTACCCTCCGATGATCATGCTTACATACAACCAAGTAGCTTGCGTTCCAAATCCTATATATATAGTTATATAGTCATATATTTCTACAAGAACCATTTCTTTTAATTGCATTTCCTTAAAATCCTTTTTTATGCACAAACATTTATTTTTCTTAGAAACATGCACAATCTAGAAACAATTTCATGCATTAGCTATAATACTTACAAATAGTTACAATAGATAATCAAATAAAGAAAGTTATTCGGTTATCTCAACCCTTTTGTCAAAAGAAAAGGTCACTACCAATGTCGCTTCATATCTCAATGCATATTTATAACTCCTAAATGCCCAAGGCCATGAACATTTTTGTATTTACTATAATGGGCTTCATTTAAATTTCCTCATATCTGTATCATTAGGCACATAAAATCTATCTCGATATACTATGAACCCATTATCATTGAAACTAAAATATCTGTTCTGGTTTAACTCAACCTCTTCTCAAACCCCAAGAAAATACTTGTGTTCTAGTTGTACTATCCTCAATTCCCTCCAGAAGTCACTACTAATCACCATTGAATAAACACTAACTAATGCCTTTAGTGGTAAATCTTGTTGTGAATCTAGGAAAGATTTTATTAATATATGCTCTAGTACTATTAGGCTTACCACATACAAAGTCTTTCTACTTAAGATGTCTGCAACCACATTCGCCTTGCCTAGATGGTACTTTAACTTAAACTTATAATCTTTATAAAGCTCTATCCATCTTCTCTATCTTATGTTTAGCTCTTTTTAACCTACCAAGTATTCAAACTCTTGTGGTCACTAAATACACTAAATACTACACCATAAAAATAGTGGCACCAAATTTTTAGAGTAAACACTACTGCCACGAGGTCTAAATCATGAGTTGGATAGTTTTCTTTATGTAGTCTCAATTGTCAAGAAGTATAAGCTACCACTCACCCATCTTGCATTAAAACATAGCCCAACCCTCTCAATATGCATCAGTATACACCTCATATGGTACTCGTGGATTAGGGATAACTAACACTAGTGTTGTAGTTAATTCCTCTTTTAGCTTCTGAAACACTATCTCACACCTGTCATCCAAAATATATGGTTGATCTTTCCGTCATAATTTAGTCAAAGGAGAAGCTATCTAGGAAAATCTTACATAAAACATCAGTAATACCTAGCTAATCCTAAAAATTGAATATCTTCATGACTAAACTGGGACATTCTCACTTCAAAATTACATCAACCTTATGTTGATCCACAAAATTCCTATTTGCATACACCACATGTCCTAAAAATTAGACCTCTATTAGCCAAATCTCACACTTGTTGAGCTTGGCATACAACTTATTTTCTTTCAAAATTTATAGCACAATCCTCAAGTGCCTCACATATTACTCCCTATCTTCTGAATATATTAGAATGTCGTCAAAAAGGAATACAATAAACTAATCTAAATATGGCATGAAGATACAGTTCATGTAATCCAAGAATGTAGCAAGTATATTAGTCAAATCAAACGGCATAACTAAAAATTCATAGTGTCCATACTAAGATTTGAAAGCTATCTTGGGCACATCTTCCATACTAACCCTCAACTAATGATACCCTGATCTAAAGTCTATCTTAGAAAAGAATAAGGCATTAGCCAATTGATCTAAAAGATCATCAATCCTTGATAAAGGATACTTGTTCTTTATAGTCACTTTGCTTAATTTTCAATAGTTAGTACAAAGACACAAGCTGCTATCTTTCTTCCTTACAAACAGAACTAGTGATCCCTTGGGTGAAACATTCAACTGAATAAATCCCTTATCCAGCAACTCCTCTATCTGCTTCTTCAACTCTAATAATTTTGATACGACATCTGATATGAGGCCTTAGTTATTGGTTTAGTTCCAAGAAGCAAATGAATTGAGAATTCTATTTCCCTTTTAGGAGGCAATTGAGTCATCTCATCCTAAAACACCTTTAGGAACTCACTTAGTACCTTGATATTCTTAAACCACCATCATATATTGTACTAGAAGTAAAGAAAACCATGTAGGCATCACAACCCTGCCAAATCAATTTTTCTATATTAACCACCAATAAAAACTTAAACTATTTAGAAGAATGCACTGTCATAGACAACACTGGTAATAAAACCATTTTCCTGGAACAATCTAGTATAGCATTATTCATTGCTAGCCATTCCATAAAGATAGTTTCAATCTATCCACATACTCCTCAGACATAAAGAAATGTATTGCACCAAAATCAAACAATACCTCAACTTCTTTTCTACAAAGAAAAATCATACCTCAGATTAAGTTCCAAGGCACTCTAGTATCTTCTTGTGTCACTATAAGTAGCCAACTATGAATGGTGAAACACTGCTCTACCACCTTAACTCTACTCTTTAGGCACTGTCTCACCATATGTCTTGATTTGCCATATTTGAAATATACTCAACACCTCCCTGCATGATATTGACCATAAATACTACACTAGGGTGACCTACTTGTGTTTTTGTTAATGCTAGAACATTTGACACTTGCCTTAAAAACTGTAGAGGCTTAATCTCACACCTTTACTCATCTAGACTAATCCCCTCTAGACTAATCAAGACTGGGATCCTCTGGTAAAATCCTTTTTACCTGTTGATTTGGGATTGCCAAAACTGTATCCAAGCTTCTTCAAAAGTCCACTTACCAGACCCAGTAGGGATAAGAAGCTCTTTAAACTATCATGTCTCCTTTCAACTTCTACCTCCTTTCCCTTCCTGACAACTACTCTCAGCTTATAGCTCATTTCCTCATATGTTATCACATTCAAAACATACTCAACACCTCCTTGCATTATATCAACCATAAATGCTATACTAGGGTAACCTTCTTGTGCTTAGTTTTAGCATTAGAATGTTCAACACTTTCTTCAAGAACTATGGAGGCCTAATTCTCAACCACTACTCTGAACTAATCCCCTTTGGACTAATTGAGACAAGGATCCTCTAGTAAAACCCTTTTTACCTATTGATTTGGGATTTCTAGAATTGTATCTAGGCTTCTTTAAAACTTTGCCTTCCAAACCTAGTAGTTAGTGAGGATAAGAACCTCCCCAAACTATCATGTCTCTTCTCAACTTCTGCCTCTCTACCCTTCCTGGTAGCTTCTCTTAGCTTATGGCACATTTCCTTATATGTCACATATGTCATCATATCAAGTAAAGCAATTTGCTATCTATACTTGGGTATCATTTTCTCTAATAACCTTTTAGCCTTCCATTTTCTATCATTACTATGCTGGAGATATGTGAAATAGGTAGATAGATCATTGAATCTTCTAATGAACTCCTCTTCATCTAGATCTCCCTACCTAAATGCATGAAATTCCTCTTCCTTCTTAATTCTAAAAGTGACCAAGAAATACTAATCAAATATGATCTTTTTAAACTCTTCCTATATCAGCAAACACCAATAGTAGGCCTTATAGATTCCCACCATCTCTTCATAGTACCCCCTAATTTCATAGTTGCCATGGTTACTTTTTGTTTAGAATTGTAGACCACTAATTCCTGGTACTAATTCATCCATTGATCGTTCTTGGAAGATGTTTGTTCGATTTAATTAGCTGACATTTGATAGAAGTATGAGGGAAGGTGAAGCAGAATTATGGATAGAATGAATGGAAACCATCTTTAAGATGGTGATCTATACTTCAAAGCAAAAAGCTATCTTAGCCATGGTGTAGTTGGTTAGTGCTGCTAGGAGATGGTGGGAATCTGTAAGACCAACTGGTGGTATTCATTTGAGCTAGGATGAGTTCAAGAGAATATTATTTGATCAATACTTTCCAGTCTCATTCAAAACTGAGAAGGAAGAAGAATTTCATGCCTTTAGGCAGGGAGACCTGGATGAGGAAGAATTTATAAGCAGATTTAATGACTTATAAGCTTATTCCACATATCTCTAGCATATTAATGACTCGAAGTGGAAAGTTAAGAGATTACTTGAAAAGACAAGACTCGAGTATTGGTAATGAATAGCACTGCTTGATGTGATGACGTATGAGGAAATGTACCACAAGCTGAGGGTAGTAGCTAGGCATGGTAGAAAGGCAGATGCTGAAAGGAGACGAGATAGTATTGGAAGATTTTCATCTCCTATGGGTCTGACTGGTGGAATCTCAAAGAGGATTGAGTTTAGTATGAGCAGTTCAAGTTCTTCTAAAATAAAAGGTTTTAGTTAAAGATTGCAATCTTGACTTGTGCATAGAAGGTCAATGCAGAGGGGTGGAGGTGTGAGAATTGGGCCTCCACAGTCTTCGAGACAAGCGTCGAATGTTCTAACTCTGACTTTAAGTGCTGAAAGGATGCCCCAATGCAATAGATGTGGCAAATCTCATTTGGGAAGATGTTGGGCTTACTATAAGTGTGGTAAGTTGGGTCAAGTAGTATGGCAATGCCCAGAGGGCAGAGTTGAGGGGATTGAGCAGAGATTAATGGTTCCTGGCCAAGTATTTGTGGTTGCACAAGAAGAGGCCAGAGCATCTCTAAATTTGATCAGAGTTATGATTTCTATAAATGGTCATAAAGTAGAGGCATTGTTTGATTCAGGTGCTACATATTCTTTTGTGTCTAAGGAATGTGTGGATAGATTGAAATTTTCTTTACAAGAATTGTCTATGCTCATTAAAGTAATGACACCTTCTGGATCGTCTAGTATTACAAGTCAAGCTTGTCAGAATGTGGAGATTCGATTTGAGGATAGAGTTTTCAAGATCGATCTGATTTGTATTCCTATAGATATGATAATTGGCATGGATTAGCTAGCAGCAAATGATGCTATGCTTTATTATGCTAAAAGAGTGATTTCATTGCCAATGTTGTGTGTAGCTGTTGAATCTTTAGAGCAACCTAACTTTCTATTGGTAGTAAGTGCTGAGAAGTTAATCCAGTAAGGTTGTTGATGCCTATATGGTATTATTTACAGCCAGCACAGTGTATGATAGTGGAATTGAGAAAATTAGGGTAGTAAGTGAGTTTCCAGAGGTATTTTCAAAAGAAATGACTGGATTACCTCCTGAAAGGGAAGTTGAATTCTCAATTAAATTAATTTTTGGAACTGAACCAATATCAAAGGCTCCTTATAGAATGTCATCGTATGAATTGGCTGAGCTATAAAAGTAGATTGAAGATTTACTAGAGAAGGGATTCATCAAACCAAGTGTATCACCTTGGGGATCATCGGTATTGTTTGTGAGAAAGAAGGATCGTAGTTTGCGACTGTGTATTGATTACCGGCAATTGAATAAGGTAACTATGAAGAACAAGTATCCTCTACCAAGGATAGATAATCTTTTAGATCAATTGGCTGGTGCCTTAGTCTTTTTAAAAATTGATTTGAGGTTGGGGTATCATCAGTTGAGAGTTAGTGTAGTAGATGTACCTAAGACAGCTTTCAGAACTAGGTATGGCCATTATGAATTCTTGGTTATGCCTTTTGGTTTAACCAATGCACCAGCAGTGTTCATAGATTATATGAATTAAATCTTTAGCCTGTACTTGGATCAGTTTGTAGTAGTCTTTATAGACGACATCCTGATCTATTTTGAGAATAAGGAGTAACATGCAAGGCATTTGAGAATAGTGCTACAGATTTTGAAAGATAGAAAGTTGTATGTCAAGCTCAATAAGTGTGAGTTTTGGTTAAGAGAAGTGAGATTTTTAAGACATGTGACATCAGCAGATGGAATTTTAGTAGATCCACATAAGGTTGATGTAGTGTTAGAATGGGAATGTCCTAGTTTAGTTACAGAGATACGTAGTTTTTTAGGATTAGCTGGATATTATCAATGATTTATCCAAGGATTTTCCCAGATAGGTTCTTATTTGACTAAACTAACTGGGAAAGATCAGCCTTATATATGGGATGACCGATGTGAAGTGGCATTTTGGAAGCTGAAAGAGAAATTAACCACAGCATCAGTGTTGATTATCCCTAATCCAAGATTACCTTACAAGGTATACACAGATGCATCTTTGAAAGGTCTTTGTTGTGTCTTGATACAAGATAGTCGAGTAGTAGCCTATACTTCATAACAATTGAGACCACATGAGGAGAATTATCCCACACATGATTTAGAGCTTGTAGCAGTGGTGTTTGCTTTAAAGATTTGGCACCATTATTACCTGTAAGGTGCAGTGTTCACTATGTTTAGGGACTATAAGAGTTTCAAATACCTGGTGGATCAGAAGGAACTGAATATGAGGCAAAGAAGGTAGATGGAGCTTTTTAAGGATTATAACTTTGAATTGAAATACTATTCAAGTAAAGCTAATGTGGTTGTTAACACTTTGAGCTGGAAGACTTTGCATGTGGCAAGTCTTATGGTGAAGGAATATAGATTGATAGAATCATTCATTAAGTCACAGTAAGATGAGCTATTGAATGCATTAGTTGGTGCTTATTCCACTAAGATTAGTAATGATTTCAGGAAGGAATTGAAAATGGCACAATTAGAAGATGAAAGTCTTTTAAAGATTAGAGAAGAAATTAAAGCAGATCAAACTATTGAGTTTGGATTCAATGATGATGGTTTTGTGGTTTATCGGGATAGGATTTGTGTGCCTGATGATGATGATTTGAGAAAAGTTATCTTCAATGAGGCTCACTATAGTAAATACGCAATCCATCTAGGAGCTATAAAGATGTACCAAGATGTGAAGAGGTATTAGTGGTGGCCTATTATGAAGAAAGATGTAACGAAGTTCGTGACTCAATGTTTGACCTATCAAAAGGTTTAGAGCACCAAAGACCAACAGGAATGTTACAACTGTTAGATATTCCTACGTAAAAATGGGAGAGCATTTTTATGGATTTTATAACTGGGTTGCCAAGAACTCAATCTGGACATGATGCCATTTAAGTTATAGTCGATAGACTTATTAAATTGGCTTATTTCTTATCTGTTCGGATTAGTAATTCTTTGGAAAAACTGGCATAGATCTATATTCGAGAAGTGGTAAGGTTGCATGGTGTGCTGAAGAGTATAATTTCTAATAGAGATCCAAGATTTACTTCTAAATTTTAGGAAGCTTTACAGCATGCCATGGGTACAGAGTTGAGATTCAGTATAGCATATCATCCACAAACAGATGGGTAGACAGAATGAGCCACACAAACTCTAGAGGATATGTTGAGATCTTATGTATTAGAGTTGAAAGGTAGATGGGATAGCCATCTTCCTTTGGCAGAATTTGCTTACAATAACAGTTACCACTCTAATATATAAATGGCATCGTATGAAGCATTATATAGGAGAAAATGTAGGTTGCATCTTTGCTAGACAAAGTTGAGTCAAAGGAGTATGTTAGGTCCAGACATTGTGGATCAGACAACTCAAAAGATTGAGTTGGTCAAGGAAAAGCTATTGACGACATAGAGTAGGCAAAAGAGTTAGGCAGATAGGTATAGAAGGCTGTTAGAGTTCCTGGTAAGAGACCATGTATTTCTAAGGGTTACACCAGTAACGGGAATTGGGAGATCGATAAGAGCCAAGAAATTGACTCTTAGATTAATTAGTCTTTTCGAGATTCTAGAGAGAATTAGACTAGTTACTTATAAGATTGCTTTGCCACCATAGTTATCGGTGTGCATGAGGTGTTTCACGTGTTGCAGCTCAAGAAATATCAACCTAATCCTTCACACGTGATTAAACTGGAGAAGATTAAACTCCAAGAGAATTTAACCTATAAGGTTGAGCCAGAGTGAATCATAGATGTGAAAGAGAAATAATTAAGGAATAAGACTATATGGTTAGTTAAAGTTTTATGGCGAGGCATGGCTCTTAGTGATGCTACCTAGGAGACGGAGGATAAAATGAAGCAGTAATACCCCCACCCATTTCTATAGGTATATATTTATGTCTTTTATGAATTTTGAGGGTAAAATTCTTAAAAGAAAGGAAGAACTGTATCATCATAAATTTCTTAATCCTAAGTTTAGAGGTTAATCAAGAGTGAAGTGCAAATTAAAGTGGGATTAGAGATTCAGAGGATTAATTAATATTTTGACTTGTTTGTGTGCTATATGAGCAGATATGGGTGATAGGAGTATGTTTCGAGTCGAAGCAAGTACGCATGGTGAGAATGAATCTTATTGTGCCATGCGTCGTAGCTTGTGATTCAATTTGCCTCACTTTATAAGTCATGAATTTTAAAAAATTTCAAAGGAGAGAAATTGATAAACACATAAAATAGAGAGAGAAGAAGGGCTGAGAAGATAGTTTAAGTCATTTTAGAGTGGTGGAAGGTGATTTAGATCAGTAACTTGCCAAGTAAGTCACGTATAACTCTTACCTTCCATTCTACACAAATTTCTCTAAAAATGAGTTCTAAGGAAATTGAATCGATGGAATTTGAGGGGTTTGATTCTTGCCCAATGGTAATAAAAAGATTCTTGGAAGTTAAATTAGAGCTTCGTGACTGGTTTAGAGCTGAACGGTAGAGCTTTAAACCGAAAGACTCAATTTTAGCCTTTAGAGAGAGAAAGTTAGGGCAAAATCTGATTTGAGTGAAATAAGACCAGTTGAGGTAATGTAAAGTAGTAATTGGGTAGTTATGGACTTAGAATAGATAAATGGACAAGAGTTTATGGATGAATATAGCCCTAAATAGTAAAAATGAGTTTCTAGTCAAAATAGGCCAAATGACTAAAATGTGCCAAATGTGTTCAGATTGGCATATTGGACGTGTGAGTAGAGAAAAGATGCTTGAGATAAGCTTATATGATAGTAAAATTCACGGGTAACATTTCTAGTGATAGAAGGGTTGAGGTAACCGAATAACTTCCTTTGTTTGACTGTTTATTGTAACTGTATGTTAGTATGCTATGTAATGCATGAACTAGTTTTGAATTAAGCATGTTTTGCGGTATTAAGTGATTGTGTGTAAAATGACTTTTAGTTGAAATGAGTATTGAAATTGTGTTTTGTAATGTAAAGAGATATATATATATATATATGTTACGTATAAGAAAAAGTAAATTGTGAAAAGGGAACCTTAAATGGTTTGAGAAAGCATGATTTGAGTAGTGAGAGTTTACTCGAGTATAGGGGATGATAAAAACCATATGGCAAGATTTCCATAGTACCCTATTAGGGTGCAGTGTTAGAGACAATTCTTCTTAGTGCCTTAAGAGGTGTTATGTCAGAAAAGATCTCTTGAGTGCCTATTAAGGTATTATATTGGAGATGAGAGATTCTTTAGTATCTTTATGATATGGGTAGGAGTCAATGACGCCCCATTGTGTATTGGGAGAATACCATAGTCTGTATTATGCATTAGAACATCTTTGGCCAGGTAATTCTACCACTGCAAGTGAGCTCAAGACTAATGAGAGTGTATATTAGTCTGAGATGAGCTTATGGTTTTATGTCAGGGTGATTTGGAGGTTTGGTTGGTAGAGATCATACTAGTATTTTATGATATGATGAAATATCTTGAGATAGCATGGAATCTTTTGGGATTGATGAAAAGTGAAATATGAAATGTAATATGATATCAATACTACTTTATGAGGTTTTAATGGTATACTATGTTTACTTTCATATTGTTGCATGTGATAGTCAAAAAGAGTGAGTTATTCTGTTACTAAGATTTTTATCTCACCCCTATGGTTACATGTTTACACGATCAGGAAGTGATCAGGCCAAGGGAAGAGAGTCTAGACCAGCTTGAGTTGAGAAGTCGTGAACTCTGAGGTTGTGTAATGAATTGAAGTAAAGGATTGCATATATAAGTGTATATGAGTTGCCATAGGTTGCAT